TATTATTTCCAAAAACTTGTAATATAGAAAAAATGGACATTTTGATCTCAATGTCATTTTGCGCAGTTAGTGTTTCTTTTTTAACCTTCAAACGGAAGAACTAAAATACAACACATTCGGAAGTACCTTGAGTTACTGACAATGAATCTTAAACACTATTGTTTTGAATTGCTCCCTGAAAATAACTTCTCAAGACCGAAATCGCGATGATATTGTAAACATAGAAGAATAAATATGCCGCATAGAAATATTTTAAATTCTGAAAATAGCTCATTTCCCATTAACACGTGCCCAAATCTGTGTTAATTAAAAATATTGGAAGTTCTTAATTGAGTAATTTTTAATTGAGGCAGAACAGCTTGCTTATCGTAAATTAACTAAAATGATTGGCAATGACAATTTGGTACTTTTTCCGTTTATATGGTAACATTTTACAGGTATTCAAAATTATAGTTTTTATTACCACACATTTGCTACAAAATACAAAACTTAATGGAAAATTTAATCGAATACATTATTTTTATGCCATACTTTAAGATATCATGATAAAATGATCAAATTTTATCACATATTACAAAAGCATATTTTATAGTTAATTTTTTTCAAAACTATAACCCAAGCTCTTTGGTAAAATTAATTGAGATTTCTGGTGTTGCCATAGAGTCAGAAACTGTAAGTTTTATCATATTCTGGTAGTTTTGACCATATTTTCTTTCTCGGTGTAGAATGAAAAAAGTTGGAAAGTAAGCCCTCTTCAATGTAACTATTTCTGAAATGTGTAACAAAAAAAATTGAACTCATTTTCAAACACTTGTAAAATATCCTAGCGTTTTATTATCGAAATGGAAATTTTCAAAACGTCGTTAGATCTCACAAACTGAATAGGATTGTATCAACAAGAAGAACAAAAACTAGCTGTTTCATTATTATTTATTTATTATTCAGCATTGCAATTAAAAATATTGCTTTTAAATATGTTTTTTTCATTTTACTATTTATGTAACTGCTGCCAATTTTTGCAAACTTACTTACAAACATTTTCTTAGATTTACTTACTTACATTTACAATACTTACTTGCATTACTTACTTACATTACTTGCTTACATAACTTACTGACATTACTTACTTACATAACTTACTTACATCACTTACTTAAATTACTTACTTACATTACTTACTTACATTTTGCAAAGTAGTAGAAATATTTACAATTTAAAATTTAATACTAGTTTTAATAGATTGATCACAACTATGTGATGGTCAATAACACCTTGATAGCCTTGGTGGTTTAGGGGATAGGGTGTTCGCTTCCCAATGAGGTGACCCAGATTCGAATCCCAGCTATGGCTGGCTGATACGAATTCTGCTCCCGGCTCGCACCGACCACAGTGCTGATATAAATATCCTGAGTGGTAGACGTATCATGTCGAATCCCGTTGCCGTCGGGCTGACCGTGGGACATTTAGGTGGTTTTCCTCAACTGTTGGTTAGTTCCATCAAAAAATTACTCCGCGAAGGCAAGTTTGTCCCAGTACTTTACCCCCTGTTCTGTTCCCTTGTTTTATGGGTTGGGTAAAAAATTACAAGTCTGCACAGTTGAACCTTGATAGTCGTATACCCAGCTGTTCAGCACTGGTTATAAAATATTAAATGAAAGTTATAAAAGACAAAAGTTACACTTTGATAATAGAGTCACAAAATGTCGGAAATATATAGTCATGCCAACTTCTCCAGTTTAAAAGAGAGAGATTTCTTGAAAGTTTAAAGTTGTACCATTTTAATTTTAATTTAATATGCTTGAATTACAATTATTTTGATCACAACTATATTTAAACAATTTAAACACATTAATAAGACCTGATATTAAGACCTGATGTATAGTTAAGTGCTGGAAAATTAATCAAATGGAGTCTATTTAATAGTTATTTAGCCGTCTCTTCAAATTTCGGAAGCAATATAGAAAAACCTAGAAACCTGAACCACTGTGGAAAGTAAACTCAGCGAAAAAGAATCCCGTGAGCATTAAAATATTTTTACAGTGGTAACACATTCACAAAAAAAAAACTAGAAATAATTTATAGTTTAAACTACCGCTTTAACGTTTGGAGAACAAACCAGAACAGCTTGAATATGAATACTATTACATTTTCATTGAAAAATTGAGTGTTGCGAAGGTTTGCAAAAGTATTGAATATTTTTTATGGTTGTCTTTTTTGTGTAACAATATTTTACAATTTTAAAATCCCATGGACAAGTGTATTTTACCGAGAGGAAATTTATTTCAAGATAATGAAATAATATCATTAATTCATAATTTATAATTACTTATTTATTTTTAAATTATTTAAAAAAATAACTAGCAAATATTAACATGTGTTTTACTGTTCACTTTGGAAACAGTTAAAGCATTATATATTAGTTAAATTTAACATTTTTCGAGAACTCATCCTTTCAGGTATATAAAAAGTCAATAACATTAAAAAAATATTTTTACGAATTTGATATAAATCTGAAAAATTAAAGTTTTTTAAAAAGAAGGTTGCTAAACTCGCTGCTAACGGTTGCTAAAACTTGCTATTGAAAAGCAAATAATTTCAGACCTGTAAAAATACACTGTTAAAAGTAACTGTAAATTTTACAGGAAAAAAAGGTACTTTTTACAGATAAAAACCGCTTAAATATGAATACGGATTTTTTCTGTTTTTAATCGTTTCCCGCAGGCAACAAAAAATGTCCTTTTTGGTAGTAAAAATGTCCTTTTACAGACTTCACGTATATTTGACGGTTTAAAGCTGTTTTTTACAAAACAGTTTATCTTTGTTTTCCCCTAATCATAAACAGATTAAAACTGTCAATTTAAAATTTAGTTTTTGCTTAGTAATTTTGCTTCATCTAAGATTACTTTCTCATTTTTCAAAACATTTTACGATTACACCGACTACAATGCTGAATTACTTATTTTATAAAGTTGTTGTTTTTTTTTTTTTTTTTTTTTTTTTTTTTTTTTTTTTTTTTTTTTTTTTGTTAAAATAACAATGTTTTGTTGCTTAAAAAAAAGACAGTCGTTTTTTAATAACAGTATTTTTATGTGAAATAAACGGTTTTATACTGGCACACCAACTGACAGTTCTTTTTTCTGCAAATTTAACAGATTTTTTTTACAATGTACTTTAATTATACCATTTCAAATTTTCAGGGAAAAAAAGGTACATTTTAGAAACGTAAATTGGTACAGTTTAAAAATAGAAATTTTTTCCGCAAGAACAATTTAAAACTTCTATAAATAAAAAAATATATATAGCATCTCTTGGGTATACATATCGTATGGCTTCGAGTGTTAAAACAACTTAAGAGTTAAAACAAACAAATTTGCATCTTTCGCGTTTTCCATTTTCGTTAGATTAAAATCTATTCAATTTTTTCAATCCCAACATTAGAAATTAAACAACATTTTTAATTTTAATGTAATGATATTTCTTCGTATGTTAATGATGTTTCCAAAAACTCCCTTCTGAATTGTTTTTACACCTCGTAAATTATTCAACCGATTATATTAAAACTTAGACATTTTAGAAATTATCATCAAAATTATAAATGTTTTAATTTGTATAACTTAACATTTCATTATTTTCTCGATTTTTTAAAAATAATAAATAAAACAATACATGAAATTAACATTGAACAAACGTGCTTTGTAAATACTGCAAAAAAGTTTTCATGTGCGTTATCAGCTTATAAGTTGAGATAAAAATAAAAAATAAATAAAAATTAAAGATGGTAATATTAAGGTTCCCAAACTTTTGATCTTCCCTTTTCAAATATTTCAGTTAGAGTAGCACCATATTTTCTTGTCAAAAATGCGAATCTGACGAAAACAGTAACTTTTATACAGAAAAAAGTATGATTTTGAGTCAATTACGAAACTTTACTAAAAGGATAGTGCAAATTAATTAGCTTGTTTCGAGTATGTTCTTCAAACAATTAGAATATCATCTAACAACCTGAAAATCAAATTATTTTGATAAAGAGTTAGTGAAGTAAGATTTATTTCTCTTTCTGCATATTAATTATTCTAATCATAAAACAATACAACTGTTCGTGCATCCAGGCATTTTAATGTAAACATTTAGTTATTCTATTTATTTCTAATACTTAAAGCTATTCTGTAAGTCATTGTCTATAGCAAAGTATGCATTCAAAAAATAATTCATTCAGTAATTATGCTAGAATACGATATAATATTGATGCATCAATACAACACACACATTTTTGTTTCATTTCACATGTTGAAAAAGTACAATATTGTATTTATTATTTTTCATACAACGACAAATTTTAAAATAGTACAGAGATTAACTTCACAAAAAAAAAATTTCAGTTAATATTAAACTCAAACGTAGTTCTATTTAAATTCATTTTTTTACATATTTCATTTATAAAATTCTAAACCTTGTTTCAAAATTAATTGTTTGTATTTTTATTCAATGGGTAATTTTTCAAAAGTTTTTATTTAAGTGCATATTATTTTTTTATAAAATAGTTTTTTTTTATTAAAATATAAATGCTGTATTTTTTATTTATAAAAGTTTCTAAAATTATCATGTAATTTCATTTAGTATGTGACTTGTTAAAAATGATTAAAATATATTCTACATACTTCATGGTTATCCAATAATGTTAATCCATATCGCAAGGAATATCGTCACAAATTGATCAAAAATATATTTTTATGATCCTAACAATTGAATCAAACACACTTTCATATTGCATCAATGAAATTCTCAGCTGCAGCTTTCATATTCACGGAGTAAGCAGTAGAAATTTTAAATATTTACATATTTTGTTCAAATAATATATATTTTACTCAAGAAAAAGAATTTTGTATATTTATTAAAATATAATTTGCTTATTTTCACAATTTATGAAATTTTCTAAAATCAAAATTAAATTTCATTTAAAATGTGACTTATTATAAATGATTAAAATATATTTTGCATACCTTATGGTTATCCAATAATTTTAATCCATATCGCAAGGAATATCGTCTCAAATTGATCAAGAGTATATTTTTATGATCCCAACAATTCAATCAAAAACACTTTCATATTGCATCAATGAAACTCTCAGCGGCAGCTTTCATATTCACGGAGTAAGCAGCAGGAATTTTAAATATTTATATATTTTATTTAAATAATATATATTTTAAATGTTAATCCATATCGCAAGGAATATCGTCACAAATTGATCAAGAATATATTTTTATGATCCCAACAATTCAATCAAACACACTTTCATAATGCATCAATGAAACTCTCAGCGGCAGCTTTCATATTCACGGAGTAAGCAGCAGGAATTTTAAATATTTATAGATTGTATTCAAATAATATATATTTTATTCAAATAATACAATTTTGTATATTTTATTAAAATATGAATTTCCTTATTTTTACTATTTGTAAAGTTTTCTAAAATTACAATTAAGTTTCATTTAAAATGTGACTCATTAAAAATGATTGAAATATCTTTTGCATACCTTATGGTTATCCAATAATGTTAATCCATATCGCAAGGAATATCGTCACAAATTGATCACGAAAACATTTTGCGTTCGTAAACTACAATTCAATCAAACACACTTTCATATCTATTGCATCAATGAAACTCTCGGCGGCAGCTTTCACATTCAAGGAATAAGCAGCAGGAATTTTACAATTCAACTCACCTAACATCTCACTCGTCGCGACGAGGTTCAGGAAGAAGTAGAAAAAAATAAATACGTAACAACAAATAAAGTTGTACTTTTTAACGATGGAGGCGAAAAAAAAGATGAGAAGAATATATTTAGGGTTGCTTGCTCGTGAGAAATCTCTGAGGCGATTTTTGATTGGCGAGATATGAGATTTTAATTTATAGTTTAGAGATTAAAAGTTGATGATATTACTTTCTTTGAGAAAGTTATAATATTAACTTTTTATTTCACAACTTTCTTCAAATTTGGTTAAGTTAATTTTTAAAAAATAATTTTTTTTCATACAGCTATTTACTTTATTATGTTGTTTTTTTTACTATGTTTATTATATATTTATTCATTTAGCAATGAGAATTAAAATTAATGGTCTACTTTTTTAAAAACTGTAGCTTAATAAATATACATGATTAAAATGTGCTCAAGAAAAGACTAGTTTTAAAATGCGTTAAACAGCGGATTAAGTTTTGTTTTGTTTTCTTATTGAATCAAGAACAAAGAAAGTGAGTTTAAAACGTCTAAAAAAGTTTAAGTGTGTCTTTTTGTTTAAAATCAACCTAGCTTTGGAATCATAGAGGAATCAGGTGTTTGCAATGACATGTTCCATTAGTTGCATGAAAAGATATCATTTTCATAATATCATTGATCCATCATTCCATCATCCTAGTTCCATCATTTGCCTTTATTTCTATAATTATACTTCACCTACGTTTTACGAATTATGATAGTCTTAAAAGTATGTGAACTACAAAAATATTATGTGAATCATGATAATTATAAATCGCCTTTTGCTTCTGCAGAAAATGATTCTAATTTATTGAATGAAGATTTAACGGTCCTAGGCCGAAAAAAGATAGATTGCACCAAAACGATATTAAACATTGCAAAGAAAGGTACCATACACAAAGTGTTGAAATCAAGCAGGGTTTAAAAAGTCTGTCGAACAAAATAAAAAACATTAACTTATCCAAGAAAAATAATAAATTTTGAAACATTTTCTTTCACTTTCTTTTTTAACGATTACTTAAAAAAACAGATGCTTTCCCAAAATAAATTATAACTATTAATCATAAATTGAAAAATCTATTAATCAAAAATAATTTATAGAACTTTACTCGATTGAAATATAATCAATGTTAACATTAAATTCTATCCAAAGAACAAAAGGATATCTTCAACGCTGCGATAGTAAAAAAAGTAGATGAACAATATAAAGAGCACAAATACAATCTTCGCTAACTATATTGTTTGTGTCTGTATCTGTTAACTATACTATTTTTATTTGCCCTTATATATATTTTCTTACTATATTTAGAGTGTTCTTATACGTTCTGTTCTAGTTTCTTATATTGTAAATCTAATGTCACTCAATATATTTTGATTTCACTATGGGACAAATTTTTGTTGCCTTTATGCAAATACTTGATCATACGTAATTCGGGTGAATGAATTTCAAATCAGAAATTAGTCATGCAGCTAAAGCTACAAATTTATTTTTTAAATAACATTTTTACTTTATTTTTTTATCGAAATGTACAAGTTTTAAAAAAACGTTATGTATAAAATGGATCACATTAATATTGTGACAAACTTCGAGGGGAGTTGGCGCACATCTGGACTAAAATTGCATAGGTACCAATGCCTTGTAATGTCGTCGTACGCGTCTAGGAGCGCTTTTCAATATAACCTAATCAAAAACACGCGAAGAAACAGTTCATAATTGGGAAACGCCCCTAGCTATGTATGACGATGTTTCCGGTCAAGGGTTCCTATGCAGTTTTAAACATAATGATGAGCTCTAACTCCTGTAAGAGTTAGTCAAAACATTTATGCTGTTCCCCTATATACTGTTTCCCCATATAACGTTGTCAAACTTGTACATTTCGACAAAAAATAGATATAAAATGTCATTTATTAAAACTGTAGTTTGGAAAAAGAAATCGACAGCAGATTTAAAATCAGTGAAGTGAAAATATCCAAGATCTGTTTTAAAAAATCTCACGCAACAGAAGAAAAAAAAATTGTTCCCTAGAGTTATCTCAAATTAAAAATTATTAATATTTAACTGAAAATTCTTACATTTAAAGATAAATTTGGAGATAGACGTAGTAAATTTTTTCATACAAGGAAGAAGGGTACATCTTAAATTTTATCCGTACAATATTGTTTAGCAATATCGTTAGTTCAGACTTCGTAAATGATACAGTCTGAAGCATCGTTTTTAACTTTTGATAAAAACATGAAAATAAAATTGTAAACTTACCCAATTCATTTAAATTATTTGATTGTCATTTGACTGAGCTGTTCGTTACTATCCTCATGTTATTAAAATATTTATAATATATTTGTTTTTGATAGCAATAAACGGTAAATGATAGGGTGTATTCGAACTAACATTCAAACTAATTTGAATTAACACTTTTAAATTACTAGGTTCTGCTAAGCCTTGTTCGATTTCGTCTTAATATTCTCTCTATAGTACGCGTATGTTTGATTTACAAAATAACTATAAATCAAGAATTAGTGAATATATACATCTTTAATTAAAGATTCGACTTCATATTGTTTCGTAAAAATCACTTTACAGACTCTTATGTGTATCTTATCTTACTGTAATTTTATTTTATTTTATTTTATAACCGTTCTAGAACAGCCGACCCAATTTTGAGTTTACGGCTACCGTGTTCACCTCTGTAGCCTTGTAATTTTGAACCTAATCCAGAAAACAAGGGAACTCCTGGATCAAGTATTGGGAGAAATTCGCTTAATTGCATGAAATTGCACGCTTGAAATTGGTTTACGATAGTTAGGTTTTAATGTATTAGGTGGTAATTTGTTCGAATGTAATGAATAAAACAATTATATATAGTAATTATGCAATATTTCTTGTATAATTTTCTAGGAGTGTCGTGCTTAAATGAATGGGTGCTTAATGAATGGGTGCAAAATGAACAATGTGCGCCTCCCCACTTTTCAACCAAAAATTTGTTGGGAAACTAAGAAATTTTATAACACTTTCTGAAACTTATTTCGATAAACTAGAAGAGAAAACCTGAAATCATAATATTAAAATTCAAAAATTTAAGTATCAGAGGACTTCATTTTCTCGACATTCCGAAATTTTTAGTTTATTTATTTATTTCATTATTTATTCAGTTATTTTTTAACCCAAAAATGATTTTAAAAAGTATAGTTCAAAGATTTCTTTACAAATTGAGAAGTAATTAAATGATAAAAAAAATTTTCGAGGAGAATGTAGAAAAACTTGCTATAATTTGATTTCCTTTTAAAGTAAACAAAATGCGCAAAGCTTCAAAAGCATTTTAATTCCTAAATGTTACCCATATACTTTGTAAAAAATAGAAGTACCATTTGCTGTACTCTGTCTATTAATTTTGAAGCCCTACTAACATTGCTCTTATTATATAGTTCATTAATATAGCTCTTATTCTATTGCTCACTAATGATGCTCTTGTCCAAGTATTGTAAAAACTAAACTAATCATGGTTCTAGCTGCTAAAAATTTTTTTCAGCGTTCCTCTTCCAAAAAAGTTATGAAATCCTTAACTAATTGGAAGTGCATTCATGCAAATCTTTATTGTTTTTACAAATTTGAGTGAAAGCGTTTTCATACTAATAGTATAAATCCAGTTCTTCCGTTTGTTTCCGCATACAACAATGCAAAAAGCTTTCCATAAACAAAGCGATCAATCATGCTTAAATTTATGATCCATGACATCACAAAATGACAACAAACACAGCTAATGTCGAAGAGGCCTTATTGCTAAAGAGAAGAAAAAATTTATTTATTGGTCTTATTTATAAGGTAAACAAGTTTCGCAATGCAAAGATTAATTGGTTTTTAAAAAAAAGATGCAGAAAAACTAGAAAACAATCTAAATATTATTAATATAAATGAATTGCATAATAAATAGAAAATATTTTAGTAAGTATGAAAATATTAATTGATTTATTTTCAATTTATTATTACGAATACAAATCATAATTCAAATTCATAATTTGAAATCGTAATTTATAAATCAGTCATCATCAATTCATCAATCATATTCATCAAGCATAATTCATAAGAACACAAATATCGATGTAAATTTTCCATTCTGAATAAATCCATCCTGAAAAATATCCATCCTGCACTATAAACCTATTGCACGCTATCTACTAATTATAACTAAACTAAAAGCTAATCCTACTTAAAGTTGCAATGGGATTGAAAACTATTTCCTTGGGATTTGCAACTATATTCAGTTATTTTTCCTTCTCTGACATCTATTTCAAAAATATGAATTGAATTTTTATTTTTAAATTTTATCGATTTGTTTATTTGCATACATCGGATTGTAAGTGTCAACAATGTCGATTTAAAACCGATTTCTCCTTTTCGATAGCAATTCAAGAATAAGATGAAATTTGGAACTATCGAATATACTATTAAATTTTTTTTTAAATTATTTAACATAGAACAAGAATTTTTGCACCAGACAGCTCAGATAATCCTTCAAAATTAAGACTGCATTTTTAGACTGAATTTAATTCCCTTTAGATTTTACTTTCTTTTTTTTTTTTTTTTTTTTTTTTTTAACAATAATTTCATTTTATTTAAAGTATGTNTTTTTTTT